TTAAGTATATTTTCTACCTTGGTTTCTACTCTTTACAATTTAATACGCTATTTCAAAATATTATTTAAAAAAAATACATAGTTATGTAATTTTTATTAAACTTAGTTCATTACTCCAGTAATATTAAAAAATAGTGATTGTAACTAATTACACATCCTACGAAACGTTTTTCTAATTTAACGTTTTCTTCACCTTTATTTTGTGATTTTATTTTCTGACAATTCAAGCTGAAAAATGCGCATCCTGCCCCTGATTCGTTTTTTCAACCACATATTCCATTCATCCGCGTCTGCAAATATCTCTTAGTTTGACTAGCGCTTGGCTCTATTTGTTTTGCTGAAACAAAGTTTCTTGTTTCTTGTATTTCCATCAGCATGAGTTAACTTGAAAGATCTATACTAGCACCCCCACAAGAATTTTGGATTTTCTTATAGGACTTCTCAATTCTTCAAGATCAAGATACTTTCTCAAAAACAAACATATTTTAGAAAAAGTTCAGTTTCTCGACAATCGAAGCACCCCATATTTCGAGGCTTTTTAGGTCTTACGAAACCCACAAAGCTCCTGGAAGATTGTATGTTGAAATGGGGTTGATTTCGGGACTTGAGGCTTATTTTCGCAAAATTGTTTTTCGTGGAGTTCAGCAACCCAAATTGTAGTTGAATTCCAGTTTTTTTTTGTATTGTAGTCCGGTGGTGCTGGATTCCAAAATCGTTTCATTTCACAAATGTCCCTTCAGAAGCATCAGTCAGAAGTGTGATGAATAGACCAAACTTTATTGAGGCGTATCTACCTGATTATTTGAGTAGCGATGCGAGATTTTCACAAGATTTCTTAGAATTTGTTCGTTTATTTTCTGAATACAAGTTTTATTTCCAGGTTACACCCCTTTTAAGATTTGTCACAGTTGAAGTCTTTATGAGCCATAATCTGCTTTGTTTTTTTTTTGTTTTTTGTTTGACACATGTAGTCCCGACTTGTTTCACATTTTTGAAACAACTACCAACAAAGAGAATAAAAAATTTCTTTACATCGAGATTTATATTCTCTCTGTGAGGACTTGTTAAACATTAGAATAATGACAATTCTTCGAGCAATTCTTCAACAATCGGCTCTGCATCTACCAAAAATATCCTCACAAATTAATAAATGCATGCAAGACGTCAAAAATGCTTAAACTTTGTTTTTATATACCTAGATGAAAACTATAACCGAGAGGCATCCTCTGCCTTTTCTAATGAAATTCTACTGCACTTGAGTTCATATTAATATTCGAAATAAAAAACAAATTTCATTGCAAACTATGCGCTATAATACAACATTTATTATTTTCCGATCATATTTTAAGAAAATCACTCTCTTCTTTGTTAATTTCTTGAATTTCCTGCTTCGCACCAAGGAACGCTAAATTTAGTCTCCCTCCTCAGTTCAAACAGAAAATGCAATCGAATTGCCCTTGTGGACAGCATAATTTTAAATTTAGATTAATGTTTGGCTCGGTCTAGATGTTTTGCATAGTTTATGTTGAATTTATTTGAGTGAACCTCTCTGGAATTTGGTGCTGTGTGAAATGCGTTATCGAATGTAAAAGTAAGTGTTCTAGACTTCTTAATGAGTGGTCAATTACTTTTTAAGAAAATTATTCTAAATAAAATAAGTCATCAAAAAAATTGTTCTCGCTGCAAGGCCATAGAGCAGAGTAGGTATAATGTTTAAATTTTTCATATGAATATTTGGTTTATCGAATTGGGTCAATAATGATCTCGATAATGATTAAAGCATTAAGCGAAAGGGTATTATACTTTTTTTTTTCGAAAATACTTTCAAAATTGGAATCAGAAAATATAAAATCTGATACTAATTTTATTAGGTACTTTTCTTTATAAATATTGAGTTCGCAAATTAATTATATCTAGCAAAGTTGTTGGAAAAACACAAGAGTTCAACCACCCAATGATATATTTTCCATGGTCATACGTTCTTTTCAATGAATTAAATGTTTTCAAATCCAATTTTATTTGTCCTGGGGTATTATGGAAGTTATTAATTGAGAACTATACAGTTTTTATACATGTTTATTGTAGGCCAACAACATGGCTTTGGAATTAAAGTTTTTGCCACAGACATAACATTCTAAGGTGTGTCTACTGTGTACAACAATTACATATTCATGCATTGCATGGCTTTCTTTTTCATGGTGATGTATTAGCCTGGTATAGCAATCTCCACATTCTTACGGCTACTGTTATTTTCTTGGGCTTGATGTTTAAGATATTGCTGATAGGCATGTACCTACCTATATGGCGCAACTATGTTCTAGGCTAGGAAAGAATCCTATTTGATGTTTGTAAAATGTAGATTTGTCTATCAAAAAAACCTGTAAGCGGAAACATTTGACCTTAGTTTTATGAAATAGGTGGATTAAATTTTAAATGCACCCAAAATATTTTTTTAAACTGGTACTTTTTTAAATTGACACTCTATCCACACAATATCGGATACAGACTACTGGTTTTTTTTATAGTCACTAACTATAAGAGATTTTATATTGCAGTATCCTGTTATGTGTATAATTTAAATGTATTTTTCCACGACAAGGCGTGCATAGTACTTATAATATGTATCTAGTTACTATCGGGAAATAATTTCTCATAATTAGAGTTAATTTTTTATAGCTTCCTATTACTCAGATTCTATAAGCCGTTAAACTAATTCGTCCTTACCTAGAAGAGATAATATTCTTGAATGTCTCCACATAGTTTGCTTTTGTCTTACACCTGTAATAAGCTGTATACAGGGTCCTGTATCTCACCTCCCGTTTATGTAGCTTTTTTATTATTTGATTTAGAATTTCTATATTTCGCAGCTACTAGCTGTACTGTGGGGCGCATTTCGACAAAATAGTTTTATAAAATGAGCGCAAAACAGATTTTTATTAGTTTTTAATATTCTTCTCCAAAAACTATTGAACCGATTACAACAAAACTTTAGGGGTGTGTTGGTATTCATAGGAGGTAAAGTTTTGTTGAAATCAACAATAATTGGCGCGATAACTAGGGGATTAGAGTGAGCTAATTAAGGGGATATTAGGTGAGAAAATTAGTATATTGATTTGAACTAATAGCGGGAACAATGAATAAACTTTTTTTGAACTGAAATAGTGACTGGTTCTGACATCGAAGAACTAGTCCGCAGAGTCATTTTTTTAGAAAATTCCAGCGAGTTCTATTTGAAAATTAGATAAGAAGTATACAGGGTATTCTATGGTAAATAGACGACAGTAAATTTTGGAGCACTGCATAAAAAATATCGAAGACAAGAGACAAGATGCCAGGATCGGCTTGCAGCACTTTTTCAATAACAATAATATCAAAGCCAGCAAGATACACGAGAAGAGAAAGACTGAAGTCAGATAAAAAAAAAAGAAGAAGTCCGAAGACGAAAAGAACAGTTTTACAGCACTTCTACAGCAACAAGAAGATCGGAACAAAAAGAAAGGCAAGGAGAAGAAACCCGAAAACAAGACGAGCAGGACCGGCTTCAGGAAAATTTTAAAATTCAGCGAGAATGGATTCAATCAGTAATCTCTCAGGAACGAACCCGACTAAATTCAAGAATGCAGTGGCAGAAGTACGTGAAGAAGTTGGGAATACTCGTCACAAAGTTGGTAGTGTTCTTCAGGAGGTTGGGAGTGTTCACGAGGTTCTTCGGAAGAGTGCCGGAAGTTGAAACACCAGTTTGTCCGGAAGTTGTAGAGAGCGCTTTCGAGTAGACCCGCGGATTCGTCACAATATGATAGGCATGGAAACGCTTGGCCTTTAAAATTCGTTGAGCGGTGGTTTGCTCGCTTTCAACCATAGTAGCGACTTATTTTGACTAATAGAGGGATTTTTCTTAACAGATTTATAATGCAGACAATTGATTATCTTTTTTTTTAACAGGTTTTTCTTTAACTAGTTTAGTATAGTTTACATTCTCCGTTTGTCCGAGCCTCTCTCTCTTTTAGGATTTTGTATGGATGTTTTTTGTCTTGATACCGCTGACTTGCTAATAAACAGTTCCGTTCGGATTCCCCTAATATGGAAATCATATCTGAAATCTCCCCTCTGTCGTACTCCATGACAAAAAATAACATTTGAGTGCCCACCTGAACTATTATTATTAATACAAAGCCAACAATATTTTAAGTTATTAGGTAGTTTACTAAAATCAAAATAGGCTCTTGATTCTGATGTCAATAAATAATTTTTCAGAGCCTCCTACGATTTTGTTTATTGAAATTGCTATTGCAGTAGTTGCCAAAACAAATTTCCTTGTCAAAAGAAAAACAGTAAGAACAACCGAAGATTTTCCTGCTGATACTTTTTTGTCATGTATATTGATTGTTCTGATCAATATTTTTAGTTTGTTTTCTGCCTTATAACTGTAGGTACCTACTCATCTGCGTAACTGTCTATGAAATGTTTTCTCTTTTTGTGACAATAAAGCTGATTTGATTTGATTGGAAATACGCTACAGACATATGCAGATTTTGACTTTGGTGACGTTGTGTCGGGATTTCCACGGCCGGGACAAATACTGTCGAGAAAAATACGTGTCGGAAAAAAACGTGTCCCTGAAATGCGCCCCAGAGTACAGGTGATGTCTGCAAAATAACAAATTCTTAAGTTACCTACATAGAACGGGTGGTGAGATGCAGGACCCTGTATAATTATCTATTTTAAGTAAGTCATAAAAATCCTCGTAAAAATCAAAATAATAAATGTAAACATTGGAGTAATAACAATAGAGCATGCAAAGTGGGCAAGTCAAGGTACTCAAATGAAAACAAAACATCCACCCATACATGAATCATTATTACTTCAGGAAAGTGAAATCATCAAAACAAATAATTCACAATGATATTCATTTCAATTTGATTCTAATGAAATTATTGTTATGGAATAAGAATCAGTTGGAGTAGGTATGTGAAGAGTAATTCATGTAATATTTACTTTCAGGAATCCAAAAATTTGTAAAAAAATCTCTGCAATGGATCATGTTTCCATTCTCGATCCATACGAGCAACAACTCCTAAAAGTCTTCAGCAGTCACGACTTGGATAACTGTGGCAGCTTGGACAAAGATGGACTGATCCAGTTGTGTTATACCTTGCAACTAGAAGAACAAGGTCCCGAACTGATACGTTCTGTTCTTAGCGGGAAGAAATCGAGAGCAACTTTTGGTGAATTTAAAGACGCACTATTGGCTTTATTAGGTAAATCTGCGCACAGCATGTAATACATATTTTTATTTTATAAGTATTTGTTTTTCAGATAGAGATGAAAAAAACATAATATTGAGAGCTTGATCTATGTAAATTAAAAATGTATTTTTTATAGGTAAAATGCAGAACAAAAAAAACCTGCTAGAAAGTCCCTTGAAGGAAAATTTTGTTGAAAAAAATTCGCCGGACCGTGAGGTGTCTCCCAAATACATTTATGGAAGTAAAAAGTATGGACGCCGAACTAGGTAAATATTGTTTTTCTTTGCCTAAATACGGACTGTTTGAAAATATTGGGTTGGTTTTTTAGGCCGAGACAAGATGAAATAAATAATGAAGAAAATGATACACCTCAGGGAAAGCAAGGTTCTCCAGTGCAAAGATCAAACTCGCAAAGTGAAGTCTTGTCTAAAAAACGTAAAACTAACTACAAATTAAAAAGGTATTACGCATACTACAACTTTTGCTAATTTAGGGCACATCCAATTAAACATAATTTTTTAGGTGCACTTCGCTACCAGGACACAAAGATTTGAATAATACCCAAGGCAGTCACTTTATATCATCAAATTTAGCTAGTGAACCCGAAATTGTTTGTACAGAAGAAATGTTAAGGGAAGCATGGAAAAAGTTAGGCGTTGGTGAAGATGGTTATTTGAATCAAACTGAATTAGTATTAGTGTGTGATGCAATAGGTAAATAATCTTCATAACCTTTATAGTTTATCAATTAATATTTACATATCTCTTATAATTGTTCATTAGGTCATTTTGTTTTTATTCCAGGATTGCATAAACTAGCAGATGAGATAATTAAACAATTAGCGGTGAATTATGATAAGAAAATCAGTTTTAATGAAGTGTTGGAGGTGATTCAAAGAGATGAAACGTGGTTCGACGTTTTGAATGATTCCCCAAAAAAAGATAATACAATTAATTTGAGGTGAGCGATTTGAAAATTTAGTTTTAACTCAATTTGCAAAATTTTCAATTGTAAATTTTTGTCAATTAATAATAATCTCGAAATTCTAAAAAGCTAACAAAAATGATGTTTTTCTTTTTAATTCCTGGGTTTTCTAATTTGCATATACATACCTAGTTGCTCATAATTAATAAAATAGCAAGAATAAAAACCTAAAGTCTGCTTCTTTGTAGTTTGGTTGTGAAATAAAATATAGATAAAATTCCTAAACATAATCATGTTAAAAATTAAAAAAATATGTTTACATTTCAAAATATATATATTTTACAAAGGATTAGTTATGTTATATTTGGAAGTGCCTACTGATTTGATAAAAGTTTTAATTTCCAAAATTCCCTATTCACATTTTGAAATCCATTTAAATAGTTTTATGTTTTTTCTAAATTGGTTGAATTGCTTCAGGTGTTCACCACAAGAATTGTTTCCCGATTCGCAAACATTCCAATATGTCACACTGGGACTTGATGGAAATGGTCTGATTAACGCAGTAACTTTAATAGAAATGTGGGAGAATGTAGGAATCCATGCTCCAAAGGAACTTATTCACGAATTGGGGTTTGATTCCAGGAAAATTAATATAGCGGGTATGCATTTTTCTCCAATTGCTTTTGCATGTTTTACTTCAAATACGAATTTATTTCTAGAATTGGCTGCTGTTTTGGAAAAACAAACCCGAACCATGAATGAGAATACGCGCACTGAATTCCAAAGTCCTCACATAACTTTGCTTCAGGCAAATCTGACACTTTACCAATTGGAAATACGCTGTTTAAGAAACATTTTGGAACAGTTGCAAGCGGAAAGAGAGAAATTGAAGCTGGATGTGACTGAAGCTAATAACCGTGCGACTTTGCTGGCTCAAGAGGTTGATGATAATCATGTGAGGATGGAACAAAACACACTAAATCAGGTAAATATCAAAGGGTCAATATACATTTTGATTTTTGCCGAGTGATATGGCCGCAGGGCGAATTTCATCCCATTTAAATATATTTTCGCAACAAGGTAACCATATGAGTAGACAACTTCTCTACTTTGTGGCGATGAATTGCATAATATGGTGTTTCACGTCGAGAAATCCATTTGCATGTCCAAATTGTACCCATGCAAAAATCTACCGTTTAAGTCCCACATAAAAAAAAAACGTACATGAATTCAAGTATTTAGGTGCATAGTTGATGGGAATCTTATATTTTCCGGACATTGTAAATGCATGACAAATAAAATAACAAAAAAGGTGAATTTGTTGGGAAGTATATCAAAAACCTTAAGCTCTACTTTTGTCGAACTCTCTTCTTTTCAATAAATAATTCGGTGTAGCGTGTATTACAGCAGATGTATTTTTGGGCTATGCTTTTTTAGCACTATTTCGTACTGAATTATAGGCCAAAAACGGGACAAAGCAAAATAAGGGACTGAGTGCCCAAATACGGTGACAGTCCCGTATTATATGGCAACCCTATTTATATGAAATATAAATTTTAGGTTAAACTCCTCGAACAACGCCATTCCGATATGATCAAAGACATAGCATCGCAGTACAGCAAAGATAAGGAACAACTAAATTCAATTAATGAATCTCTAGAGGAAAAAATCTCGACACTTGAAACTGAAACCGCTAAATTGAAGAGCGATCTAATAGTGGCACAAAATTATTCGTTGAATGTGGAAATAGAAAATCAAAAATTGAGTGGACAAATATGCGAGTTAGAAAAGGACAAAGAATTGTTAGTGAATAAGGTTGGCACATTGGAGCTGGAACAACAAAGAATAAGGGACATGGAAAGAGAAGAAAGTGAACTCCTTTTAAGCAAACTATCGGCGTTGCAAATTAAGAATTCGGAACTTAAAGACAGAAATGATGAAATGGAATCAGAAATTGAGAGTCTAAACAATCAGGTAATTAGTCCAAATAATTTTTTATCCAGGTCAAGTAGACTAGCAAACCAATTTCACTGGCCCAATTTCTGTTCAAATCAATAGGCATTAATTTACTTACTACAACATGGGGGCAGGACTAGATTCACACACAAAATATTTTTTTTTATTTGTAATAATTGTAAATAATTAACTTGAATTGAATGATCAAAAAACTGGGGGTGAACAATACTAAAAGTACGATTATTATTTTTAGTATGCTGTTGAAACTATTAGCGGCATTAGAAATGAACACTTGACCGTTCGTCAAGAAACGGACAATAAGTACTACTAGTTCAAATTTGAAAAGTAGTTTGCAGGAAAACAGAATATTTTAATCATGTATCTATGTAACTGCATATAGGTATCTGTTTTTTTTTAATTGAAAAGTTGATTATTTTACTAGTATGAATTGGTATATTTAAATGATAATATGGCCATATTTGATTTTCAGGTCATGAGCATGAAAACCAAAACAAGTAGCACACCAACAAGAAACTACAATACCCTAGATCGATCCATGGAAGAAGACAATATCTCTATCATTTATGAGGGAGTCGGACTAGGTGCAAAGAGAAGAAGTGATTGTTCACCTAGCAAAGATGTGCAACTGTTAAGAATGAGTAAGTGATATCACATTTTTTTTTAAATTGGAGTATCAACAGTTGTTAAAAAACTGAAAGAGATTTGGACTTTCAGTAGCTTGATCATATCAACTGCATTTGCTTGAAAACTATGAAACGCATTGTTGGGAACGATGTGTCAAAAATAATGACCTAAAGACTAAGCAGTCCAAAACTATTTTTCTTTTTCAACAGAAATATGACTTTTCAACTTTCAAACCAACGATAGTTGTTTGGCTCCACAAATGTGCTTGGTATTCGGCAAGTTTGGCAACAATCAACTTTATTTCCTTTATTTATAACTTTTGCCTGTGTCACGTAACGAGGTTGGTAGTTTGAGTTGCATATGTCACAACTACGTGAAGAACTGGAAATACATTTTTTTGCAATGTTTGCACTTTTTTCTATTTTCTCTCGTGATCTAATTGTTCACATCAGGCAAAACATGAACTCTAACAGCAGTAACACATTATAATGGAATACGGCAATGAGCCCCGAATGCACAGGGTAGGCTTTGTTATAAAGAACCAACTCGTCCATCATCTTGATGAGCTTCCTTCTGGAATCAGCAAAAGACTACTTCAGATAAAGTTTTTTTGTTAGAAGACGTCAATTCAATGCCCCAGTCGTTAAGAGACTTCACCATCTGCATAGGCACCATTGGCACGGAGGGCATAGACAATAATAGTAACTCCAATGGAATTCTGCTCCTGACCGAATGCTGAGAGCACGATCTCGTCACGTTATTTTGCGCGCCAATAACCAAAGTGACTTGGAGGTAACCACAGCTATAATCCATGCTGATGCTGGCTGGACTGAATGGTCCGATCTGTAATGTCTCTACAAGTAGGTACCAAAAAAAGGATGGGACAAAGGAACCAACTACAACGCAGAAATAATGTGTGGCCCCAAGGTGAAGACACCAAACAGCCTGCCAAGAATCAACAGGCTTTATCAATAGGAAATGTCATGATTGGGTTATTGATAACAATAAATAAATTCAAAACTTTATAGAACAGAAGGGGAAAGAGTTATTATATGGCACAAAGACCCAAATTCGGCTCACAAAAAAACAAGCCTATCTTCAAGCAAAGGCTGAAGTACAAAGAAGAGCAAGAATGTTGAACAAGAATGGTGGACAACGAAGTCAATTGAATTGGAACATTCAGCAGCCTCTAACAACACACAGCCTTTTTCAGCGCCTCAAAAGTAACCAATGGTCCCTTTACAAAAAGTCCAAGTCAGCTTCAGCTTGTCAAAGATTTAGCAGCTCCCAATAGAAGGAGCATTTTCAGGACTAAACAGAGTCACATGTGGGCGATCACGTCTGAATAGATGTCAGTAGTCCCAGTAGTTATTTGGGTTGTGCTTTAGAACTTCTTTGGCTGTATGGTCTGATTCAAAGATTACATTGATTTCCCTGATATTTAGATTCTGTGGCTGTCCAAGCCTAAACTGTAGCAGATGAATGTCAACATTATCATATTTGAAACTGATCTGACCTGTCCAGGTTTGAGCATAATCCGCATATACACAGAAAATTTGCTGGTCGTGCAAAAACCAGAGAGAGAACGCATTCAGAGGAAAAGAGATGCATGATACTCTCGACCAAATCACCGAATGCATAATATGGTACATTCTGGTGAAACATTTTTTTTCCTTGAATTTATATGGGGTAATAATGGTCAATGGGTACGAATTGTTTTGTAAATAAAATATATTTGAGTGTAATGATAATTAAAATATTGTTACAACTGCCCGCTTTACGGGGGTGACATGGGGGGTTTGTAGCTTTGGGGGTCGATGGAGAGAAATTCGCTCAAGTTATATAAAAGTGTAAATATTCAGTTTACCGCTTGGCAGTGTACCACGCATAAAAATTCGCTCACAGACAAATTGAAGTTTAGCAAGGAAAAAGTGAATATAAAAATTTAAAACTCTACCAGATGAAAGAAAAGTTTTGTATTCAGCCAGAAAGTAAGGGGTAAGTGGCAAATTAGACACACACCCTTAGATATTTGAATATTTCGATATAAAAGCCGCCCGAACCTCACTTTCTCAACATATTATACACTGCTCAAACAAAAGTAGAGTAGAAATGAATGAAGAACAGTTCGAAACACTAACTCGCCGGATAGAAGAATCCAATAGAAAAGTGATTGAAGAAGCAAATAGCAAACAAACAAAAGTTATTCGTGATTACATCCAGCAAGAAATATCAGAAGTAAAGGAAGATTTTGAGAAAGCTATTACGCAAAGCGAAAATAAGTTGCAGGCCAAATACGAGGAGCTTAACAAAAAACACACTCAACTACAAAAACAGCTGAAGAAAAACAATATTGTTATATGGGGTGTTCAGCCTCCAAAAGAAAACCTACCAGAGTTTATCATAAACAAGCTGAAAACCCTACTTCAAATCAATATAACAGTATCAGAAATAGATAACGCCTTTACATTTGGACAGGAAGAAAACAGGAAGCATATTTTGGTAAAATCAACATCCTTTCTGAAAAAAAAAGAAATCTTAGCAAACGGTAAAAAGTTAAAAGGAACTGGAATAAGCATCTCCGAAGATTTGACTAAGGAAGAGAGGGAGGAAAGCAAGATACTTCGTAAACATTTGAAGGAAGCCAAGGAAAAGAGTCTGAACGCATTCATAAGGAACAATCAGCTCATCGTTAATGGGCAGACATTTACAGTTAGTGAACTACTAGACTCTGACGAGAACGAAATCGAAAAGGAGCAGGAAGAGGAGGAAGTAGACAACAGGATTACCAACAGTAGTGCATCCGCAACTCCTACAATACGTACAGTTCCCTTTTTTTCGGAGGAAGTAGAGAATACCGAGGACGTTGATGAGGTATTTACCAAGGAAAGAGTAATAAAGAAATCTACAAAGGACAAAGAAAAGAAACAAGACAAGGAAAAAAAAGAACCTAGGACATCAGCTCGCTCCGCAGCCCTTTGCAATTTGTCTTTAGCCCGAAACAACAGAGTTTAAAACTAAATCTGTTTGTACTTTTTATTTGCTCATTTTTATTTTGTTTTAAGCAGTGTATTTTGTCTAAATTTCAGGTTCCTTTATATTATCACAAAAAATTTATTGTCGCTCATTGTCGAATTCCTAAGAGTTTTTTTTTCTCTCAGCCAAAACTATTTCGATTTTATATTTATTGTATACAAGGATGGTCATTGAATATTCTAAGAATGGATTCTTTTATCTTGGATTACGAAATTGACAAAATCAAAACCAATGAATTTAAGAACTTGCAGGAATATAATAATTGTTCGAGGGAAAACATGGACAAGTCGCAACTTTCAACTCTTTTATGCAATATAAGAAGTATCAATAAAAATCTTGATGAACTAAAAATTATATTAAACCAATTAAACACGAAATTTCATATAATTGCAATGACGCAAACCTGGCAAATAAGTGATTTATCACTCTATAAAATTGATAATTACAATATTCTTTACAGTGGAGGTATTTACAATCAGAACGATGGAGTTGTTTTGTATGTTCGCTCAGATATTGAATTTGTTCAGAGCATCATTTTTCTTGGGGAATTAAGGGCAATTCAAATAAAATTTACATTACATAATAAAAGATTTCTGATAATTGTCATTTATAGACCTCCAGGAAGTGATAAAGCTATATAATAATTTGCCTCTGGCGATTAGACAACTTAACTCCTATAATTCTTTTAAAAATGAATGCAAAAAATGGATCTATACTATAAATAGACAAGCTTTATAAAATTTCATTAGTCCTCAGAATGATCATCATTTTAAAATATAAAGAAATCTACAAATATTACACAGCTATTATATTCCTCACATATTTTTGATAAAAAACAAGGTAACATTATGTTGGTCATTATTTGTACATATTTATTTTGTTAATTACTTAGCCTTAAGGATTTCTATGATACACTTATATAATGCCTACTATGAATTTGTGGTGAATCACAGAAGCACCCACGCACAAGGTTCGCCTTTAGTGGGTTTTTTTCTTTTATTTGCCCCAAATAAATTAGTGTCACTAGGCTATATTTATAATTATTTATTATTTTTTTGGCAAATAAAATATTTATTATTTATTATTATTATTATATATTCTCCCAAATATGCCCTTACATGTACGCTAGTCCTATAAGACGCATGACCCTTCGAACACTGGGGCCCTTATAGGGAGCCACACGTCAACGCTGCTTGGGGGACTGTCGATTAGTTATCGTCACCCTTATGCCTTGTCCAGAGGAACTTTCCCAACGAGAGGTACTTGCACTGGGGTAATTCCAGAGGGGCTTTCCCAACGAGAGGTAGTTGCACTGATTTAAGTCTGCCTTTGCTGCGGCTTGCAGCGCAATTTATATCCGTTTATTGCTTAATTGCAATAAACATCCGACCGAATCGGCAATTTAATTAATAAGGTTGAATACCGGGTCCTCCTTTCCTACGCAGCTAGTTGACATATGCGCCCCCTCCATGAAGCATTGGACCCCAATGCTTGGAAGAGACATTTAAAACAAAATATATACAAATGTATGTGTGTAATTGTGGTATAATACTTGTAAATCGTACAAGTATTCCTTGACTGAATTATCTTGACCCTGTTTTCTGTTTTCGACTTTTTTCTTGAGTGCCCTTTGGTAATCTGTATCCTCAAATTCCTCTGAAAAATCTTTGACAATGTCTTTCCAGCTGTTGTTTTGGTGGTCGCGCTTATATTCCTAAAACCACAGGTTTGCGGCTCCGTCTAAATATGTCAAAATAAACAATTTTCAGCTTTTCGTCCCATCCATTTGCTATCGCTGATCTGTCATATGTTCTTAGGAACTCGATCGCGCTGGTTTTACACGGCTGGAAGGTTTGAGGGCTGATAAACTGAGGCAACTTTGCCTGTTTCTCCGCTGTCATAGCGTCAGTTATTGTGGTGTTCGCCATTATATCCGGTTGTTCTACTTCCTCTCTTGATGGTTGCCTGGGTTTTGGCACTTCTTGAAGGGTAAGGTCTGGTGGGATACCAAAAAAAACTGTCTTCTTCGTAGCCTGTTTGATTATTTGCTTGGTTTTCTATCTCACTGGTAATCTGCTCTAAACTGATACTGGGCTACTCTGGTGGTGATCTTTGCAGTGATCTTCTCGGCAGAAAGAGCGCGTTTTCTGATTCTGTGCTCCTATGGGATGGTCTAAATATTTCTACTGGTGTCGTTGCTGCTGCGTTCTTTGGCCTCAAATTGTATTTGGGTTTGTCTGGCATCTATTCTTGCCACGATGGCGACGGTCACAATTTATTCTTCTATTGGCACTAGTTTTTCAAATCTACGGAGTCTTGTCTTCATTTTCGCCACGCTGTCGTGAATTTCTCCTGAGTGTTTTCGTCACGGTACCGTTTGTCGACGTACCGCGTCGTGACGTGTTTGGGCGTCGGTTTCGAGACGGCGCCTCCACCAAATATGTCACAACTGCCCGCTTTACGGGGGTGACATGGGGGGTTTGTAGCTTTGGGGGTCGATGGAGAGAAACTGGCTCAAGTTATATAAAAGTGTAAATATATATTTTCCCAAATATGCCCTTACATGTACGCTAGTCCTATAAGATGCATGACCCTTCGAACACTGGGGCCCTTATAGGGAGCCACACGTCAACGTTGCTTGAGGGACTGTCGATTAGTTATCGTCACCCTTATGCCTTGTCCAGAGGGGCTTTCCCAACGAGAGGTAATTGCACTGGACAACGATAAGGCTGAAGATACCCAGAGGGGCTTTCCCAACGAGAGGTACTTGCACTGGGGAGACTTAATTCCAGAGGAGCTTTCCCAGAGGTAGTTGCACTGGTTTAAGTTTGCCTTTGCTGCGGCTTGCAGCGCAATTTATATCCGATTATTGCTTAATTGCAATAAACATCCGACCGAATCGGCAATTAAATTAATAAGGTTGAATACCGGGTCCTCCTTTCCTACGCCGCTAGTTGACAATATTACTATCCTACTACACTAGTTTGACTTAATTAGTACCCCTAAAAGTACTTAAAGAGAATTTAAGGGTCATTTATTTTATTGGACCCATTGTCCAAAAGGGTGTGAAAGTGGTTCCTATAATTTATGCATAAATACCTACCTTTTACATTTATTTTAATCCCAAAAGAAGGTAGCATAATATCTACCATACCTATTATAATTAGGTCGAAATTAAATGCAAAAGTTATGCCTATGGTATCAATCTATTGGTGGAAAAATCTGGTTGCGTCAATTGAACCCAATGAACTTACCTATATTGTGGCATTAGCTCAAGTAATGTATGGGGAGACTTGCCGCCAGTCTTCATTTGCGAATACTTGACAACACAAGCAACTACCAGTAAGTATAAACATGTAGTGAATATTGCGATTGAATAAAATGAATGCTGTGATTGAAAATGGATTTTGATATCAACTCAAATTAATAGCGTAAAGTTTTGTCAGGGCAGACTAGAGAGGTAGTAGTTAATGTCACCGTGTTTTTATGCAGCGATTACCTGCACAAAACTGCCTTATCTGTGATTATAGTAAAGTTCAAGAGCGATATGCAACTGGTGTTAGCTAAACAAGCATAAGAAGAATTTCCAAAAAAATGAAGACCATTTTCGACACTCAACGAAAAAAGGATAACATCTTCACCAAAAACAAAATTAGATGACTTTGATAGGAGAGTACTTCGTCGACTTATAATTTATTTCTACATCACTGAAAAAAAAGTTCCAACTTTACGGATAGGATAACTCACAGAAAATTCGTGAAAGACCCTGGATATTCAGGATCGCACGAATCGTTGAGACAAGTGATGCGAAAACCAGGGTCTCGACGGAGAAAAACAAAGAACAGTCGAAAAATTTTGATGAAAAAAACAGAAATACAGACCCTTAGGAGAAAATTTAGGGAAGAAAAAAGCCTAATAGTTTATATGGACAAAACATACATTCATTCTACACATAGTCAGGATAAAACTACCAGCTGGAGCGACACCACCAACGAAGGATTACACAAGCCACTTTCAAAGGGTCGAAGAATGATTATTGTGCATGCAGGTGGTAAAATGGGTTTTATTAAAAACGCACTTTTAAAATTCAAATCTGGAAAGAAGTCGGGCGAGTACCACTCAGAAATGAGTTACAATAATTATACAAAATGAATAAACAAAAATTAATACCCAACTTACTTACATAGCGTGCTATTTTTAGACAATGCACCATACCACAACGTTCACGCGGAGGCTGATATAAACGTCCAACTTTGGGGACTAGAAAAGTCATATGACATGAAAAAATAGCCAAGACAACGAAATATTACGTTTTCAGAATACATGTTCAGAGCAGAACTATATACTTTAGTAAAAGGTCACAAACCCAAGTCTAAAATCTACGAAATTGATAATATCATCAATTTTGTGAAGATTTTTTTTCCACATTTTCCAAGGAAGAATGGCAGAAGCGATGCCAACACGCTATTAAATTTGATTATTATTTGGAGAAGGAACCAGCTCTGGATTTAGTTGTGATTACTCGTAATTTTGAGGCTAGTAACTGCATACCGCACACCCTCATTGAACATAGTCTCAATTGCGAAGACGCTGAATATTTTACCATACTTGATTTGCTTTGATTTTACCCAGAGTATACCGTTCCGTACGCTACGGAAAATCCATGTTAGGGGCAAATTTGGTCGCTCTCCACTGCACATCGATGTGCGTACCTACCATATTTCATATTTTTCATATGCCTTTTGTTAGGTACCTTTTTATAGTCTGACGTAAAGACAATTACCTAATTATTATTATACTTGGAAAGTACTTGCTGTCACTAAACTTATTCATTGTTGTGTATATATTTTCAAGTTTATTTGCCAAACAGTAGAAAATAAAATGGCTCCAAGAAGGGTAGTGCGTGCTAGAACGCAAGAAAAATAGGAAAAAACGAGCTTGGGTTAGAGATTGGATCAGACGTAGAAGTACCCACTCTT